TCATCGGGGTCCAACTGATGAAAAGTAGGTTTACCTTTTTTGTGCTAAGGTAATTTTTTGAACCTGTTTGTTTTCCTAACATCATTTGTAAACTATTAGGTCCTCAAGAAATTAATGTCGCCTTTTGGAACACTTTCATTAACCATCCCCCAAAAAACGTACATCACGTATAATAATTAAACGAGTCGCCTAAACGTCACATTAGTGTAGCCTATATAATGTGTAAAGTTTAGTATATTCTAATCCCTTGTAGTGATGGCACACGATGAGACACACATTCGGCATGTATTGCTGTTTAAATACAAGAAGGGAAACAACGCCTCTGTAGCCACAAAGAATATCAAAGAAGTTTATGGAAATGTTTTGAACATTCCTAAGTGTCAACGACGGTTCAGCAAATTTTGTTCAGGTGACTTTAGCCTTAAAAACTGTGATGGCAGGGGCCGACATGTTGGAACTGATATTGATGCTCTGAAGACGCTTGTTGAGTCTAACCCAAGGTAACACACTCGTGAAATGGCCCTGAAATTGTATGTCTCTCATGAAACAATACGTAAACCTCTAAGGAATATGGGAAAACTCCATAAAGAAGTTGTTTGAGTGCAACTCTCCGATGATCATCATTTCCAACGTGTTAACGTTGCTTCGTATATCCTGGCGCGTAATGCGCGTGAACCATTTTTTAATTCTCTAACGCCAAAAACAATGTCTCAGTCCTAAACAAAAACCACTTCCGACCCTAAAACCTGAACTCCATCCGCAGAAAGGGATGCTTTGCACTTGGTGGGACATCAAAGGAGTAATTCATTTCGAACTCCTCAATCCACAGCGAACTGTCAATGCAGATATCTATAGTCAGCAACTGGAACGTTTAAATCAAGCCCTTCATCATAAACGCCCTTCACTCGTCAATCGGAAAGGTGTTCTTCTTCTCCATGACAATGCATGTCCGCATGTGGCACGTTTGACACGACACAAGTTTATTGAGTTGGGTTGGGAAGTTCTCCTCTACCCACCATATTCTCCCGATATGGCATCATCAGAT